TTCTCAAATCTCAACTTGGTTGGATTTACTTACCTTGTGCTTGAGTAGTCTCTCCTAAGCTCTCAACTATTGTTGGATTCCAATCTTCTCTTAACCCTAATCATAAACTTCATAAGAATTCAACCTTTACACAAATAAATCATAGATAAAGAGCTTGAATCCTTACCTTTTGATGCCTTAAATCAAAACCCTATGAAAATCTACTCAAAAGCCCTCAAATTCCTTGGAGAAGTGAATGAAAATTTGAGAGAAAAAAGGAGGAGAAGTGTGGGGGGTGGAATGAACGAAAATAAGGGTTTCAAACCCTTAACACATTAATTTATAACCACACTTTCCCATTTTGCCCTTGCACTTTCGCTAAAATTCCATCTATGTCCCTTAGTCAATTACCATAATGCCCTCATTTTTATTGCATTCTCCATGAAATTCTATCTCTTTTCACTCTCCACAATTTCAACTAATTTTGAGTGAAAAGACCATTTTACCCTTAATGCAAGTTTAAGGGATTTTCTTCACATTTTTCTCAAAATAACTTCAACAAAATTCAACTAAGGGCCAACCAACCAATATTAACAATATACAAGCTCAATTGAGAATAAATCAATAAACATTCAAGTAATGCAACAATAATTTAATTACGTACCTCAAGTGGGGCGTTACAACCAACCCCTTGAGATGTAAGTTATTTTGCAACTGACAAGAGAAGAGCTTCACCCACAAGCTCTTTTTGAGCTTATTTAGACTATTGAAATTTCAAAAATATTTTTATTCAATTTGATAAATTTAACTTGATCTATTCTTGTATATTAAAACTCTTTTTGGTAAATTAATATTAGAAAGCTCTTTAACATTTTCCTAACCGAACAACTATCAAAATTTCACAAAAACTCTACTCATATAAACTCTATTCTAATAATCTCTTTTTTCATAAGCTTTTTATTAAATAAATTAAGGATTGTTGACGATTGATTTTGGACGTCAACGACTCGCATGTGCAAAGTGCTAAGAGAGCCTTAGAAATTACACGTGATGGATCCATGAGATTTGAATATGGAGCTGAGATTATATATGTTGTAGAAAACATAAATAAAAGATTGGCAAGAGGGGTTTTTATAGTGGTTCGGATGCTCAAACAGTCGACTCCTACATCCACTGTTATTTTATTGATCTCTGACTATTTCTATGATATTGCCCATAAGCATACAAAGATGAAGAAATACAATGTTTACAGAGAGAGAATTGAGCTATTATCTATGGTTAACTCTCATAAGCCCAGCCCCCCTCTTTGGGAAGAGAAGTGTCAATTTATACACTGTTGCACTCAATGTAATGAGTGTTTTGCAAGTTGACTTGACACATGGAAGGCTCTCATCCATTCATTTCTTGAAAGAAGATAGGGTTGGTATGAATATCTTTGAGGCAGTATGAGCTTGGCAGCTAGTATAAAAAGACATTTATTAGGCTGACATAAGCGTGACTTTTTAGGCATAACAAGGATAAAAGGTGAGTTCTAAGTGAGGATATATAATAAAACTTTATTTTATAAAATTATGATAGAGGTGTTCAAAGTAGAATTGTGTCCATTGAACTCTTGATTATTGGAAAAAGGAAAAATCAACAATTCTGGTTGAGTTCGTTTATGAACTAAGCATTTTGTTTCGAATTTTTGTCCCTTAGAACTTGTATAATATCTGTTAGTTTACTGTTCTTAAAGTTTTAATGCAAAAAAAAAAAATAAATAAAAAAAAATAAACGGCAGGCAGGGGAAAGGCTATGAACCACCATTTTTACAAAAAAATTAACGTTTTTAATAAAAAGTTATATATATATATATATATATTTTTTTTTTTTTTCCTTCTCTCTTTTAAACAATTCTCCTATCAAATCAAGATATTTTTGTACAAAATTGCAAACAGAAATCAACTATTGACATATTCGAGACAAACTCTTCAAGATATATGAACAAAATAAATGGTACTTTGAATGAGTTTTATTGGTTGTGAAGATGATTAATTTTGTATTTTTTTATTCTTTTCTTTGTGTTTTCAGACAAGCATACCAAACACGTTTTCAAACAAACATACAAAATGCATTTTCATTTTTTCCCTTTTCAATCATTTTCAAAAAACCAAAAAACAGATACACAAAATTCATAATATAACACACCCTTTATTTTCATGTAATTTCACTCTTTGGAAGGGAAAAAAAATTATGGTACTAGAAAGTTTTGTTGTGTATTTAAAAGGTTAACAAATTAGATCCAACTAAAGTCTCTTTAGCCCAAGGATAGGCCCAATAGAAAGTTCATTCTATCTTCACTTAATTCGGCACATTGGTTCCCATGATTTTTTTTTTTTTTTAATCTAATTTTTTTACATTCAGTTTTAGTTATTAAATTCATGCATGCAAAATGGAATTTAGTATTTACTCAAACAAAGGCATCTTCGAAATTTTTTTTGTATTATTATACAGATTTTCAAACTGAAAGGTAACATTTCACTATGATAAATAACTTTTTGTTATTTTTAACAATTTATGAGTTTTTTTTTTATTCAATTTAATCACAAGAGGGTCGAATCATTAATTAACCCTTTAATAATAGTAGAACCCATAAAAAAGGTTAATTATTAGCCTATTATCAATGGAGTTTGTCATCATTACATTATAAAAACAATAAAGATTGACTCACAACCTAGTTTTATAAACTTTCTCTTACAACTGATGCTCACAATTAGTCATCTCATAATGAGTTATGTTTGCCAAACAATGAGTCATGCTTGCCGGATTACGAGTTGGCCAATTGCGAGTTATCATATCGCGGTTATGAAATAAAATTTATAAGATTGAGTTGTAAGTATAGTATTATTCTTTAAAAAAAAAAAAAGGGTAAAAAATCTAGAATGCAATGGGGTGTTACCCACCCTCTAATGAATTGATGCTACTTATGAATTTTTTTTTTCCTCTTAAATCTTTAAATTAATTGTTATTAGTAGTTAGCATACAATATATAGGCTCCGTTTGGTTCAAAATTTGGGGGTTTTGGGAAAAGTTTTTTGAAAAAAGTTAAAAAAAAAGTTGAATTGGGTGGGTATTACGATGTAGGATTTATAAATTAATAAAATACCCTATATATTTATTTTTTTACAAAATACTCCCTATAATAAAACATTAAAAGTTAACAAAAATACCCCTAACCCACCCTCAAACACCCCCAGTCGGCCGCCACCACCGGAGGTGGCTGAAGTCACCTTATGGGCGCATGACCGGCTGGATCTTGCCGGTCATGTGCCGATATGGCCTTTTCCGGCTAGATCCACGGTGGATCTGGCCGGCAAAGGCCAGATCTACGGCCAGATCTGGCCGTCAACCGCCAGATCTGGCCGTATTTGCTCTCAACGATGGCCAACAAACGGTCGTCGTTGATGGTCAACGACGACCGTTTGTTGGCCGTCGTGACTGACTGTTACGGCCAAAGATCTGGCCGTCAACGGCCAGATCTTTGGCCTTAGATCTGGCTTTTTCCGGCCAGATCCACCGTGGATCTGGCCGGAAAAGGCTAGATCGACGCACTACCGGCCAGATTCAGCCGGTAGTGCGCCATCCTACCAGATTCCGGCCATTTTCCGATGGTGGTGGCCAGAATCTGGTAAATGTGGATTATTGAGGTGTTTTTGTAATTTTAAAAAAAAAATATTTAGGGGTATTTAATTAAATTATCAAATTTAAGGGGTTTAAAAAAAGTTGAATAATATTGGGAGTAGTATTCCCAAAAATCTGAGTTTTTGGGTATTTTACTATTTAACTTTTTTGGGAATACTAAAAGTAGTATTCCCAAAACTGAAACAAACGCAGCCGTTGATTTGGGAATATATTCCCATCATCTATGATACAGCAATGATGCCATTCAGCTGATTTAATATAAAATCCCACATTTGGTAATAACAGTGATGCTAATCAGCCCCACGGCTTAATTAAATAAACCTTAAATGAGGATATGACAAACTTCATGGAAGAAAGGTGTCGCCATTTTAGAGATGGAGACAAATTTACAAACAACTTTTAATGTTTAATTAAGTGATCCACCACCACTAGCCTTCTTTGAGTTGAAAAATGAGGATTAAAATGGGTAAAAGAATGATTTCATTTCCTTTTTCTAATTAGGAAAATGTGCATTCCCTTTCACCTAATTCAATCCTTCCACCTAATCTCTAATCTTTAATCATGTATTTATTAGGAAACTTTTGGGCTCCGTCAGGTTTGTTTGAGAAACTTTCTGTTACCACAAGAATTACTAAGATGGTATTATAAGAAAATGTACTTCGGTCTGTTTGGTAGAATATTTTATATCCTATTTCCAACCCTATTCTCAAAATAATTGTTTGTTTCATTATTTAGTAAATACTATTATATTTTATTCAATTTTTTTTAGACCCTTAAGTTTATTAACACCCTCACCTACCCACATTTGCTAGATTCTGACGACCATTGCTGAAAGGTGATCAGAATCTGGTATAATAGCGTACTACTGATTGGATCTTACCGATAGTACATCAATCTATCATTTTTCAGCTAGATCTTTGGCTATAGCTGGTCGTCAACGATGGCCAAAGATATGGCCGTTATTGACCATATCTTTAGCCATCATTAACGACCAAATATAGCCAGATCTATGGCCTTTTTCGGCTAGATCCACGATGGATCTGACTATAAAATATCATCTCAATGCACGACCAATCAAATCCAATCGATTGCACGTCGATACGACAAATTCGGCCATCCTCCGACGGTGGTGGCCGGCTACTGATATTAATGAGTGGGTGAGAGTGTTTTTATAATTCTAATTGTTTTTATTAAGAGATGTTTAATAAATTAACAAATTTAAAAGGTGTTTTTGTTAATTTTTAAATCCTACCTGTTATTCGCACCCACTTTAAAAATATCAAAAATGCTATAAAAAATACTAAAATAAAAACAAGAAGATTTGAAGTCATTCAAAAAAAAAAATAAAGATAATTCAGACAAGTCAAACTTATTCTATTTGCACGCAACTGGGGCAGCAAGAAGCGGCCGCGCTTTCTGTACAGTGATGCCGAACTTGTCTTCCATGTCCATCTTCTCAGGCGTAACACCATCTTCAAGCTTCCAATCAAAGCCGTTAAGAAGCGAACCCAACATCAAATGCAGCATTCTCGTCGCCAGTGGCAAACCGGGGCAGATTCGCCGCCCCCCACCAAATGGAATGAGCTCGAAGTTTCTGCCTTTTACATCAACATCCGACCCCAAGAATCTTTCGGGGAGAAAAGTGTTGGGGTTGTTCCATGTGTTTGCATCTCTGCCAATCGCCCATGCATTGACTAGAACTTGTGAGTCCTTCGGGATTGTGAAGCCGTTGATTTCCGTGTCTGTCGAGGGTTTGCGGGGAATTAAAAAGGGAACTGGTGGATGCAATCTGAAAGTTTCTTTGATGATTGCTTGTAAGTAAGGTAACTGAGTGATGTTTGATTCCTCAACTGGGTTCCCTTTGCCTATGGTTTGCTCCAGCTCCAATCGGGCTTTTGATAAAGCTTCAGGATTATGGAGGAGTTCCGCCATTGCCCATTCCAGTGTGCTGGAAGTTGTGTCAGTACCGGCAGCAAATAAATCCCGTTACCCATGAAATTTGTTAACAAATAAAGAATATTAAACACCCTTGCCAACTGTGAACATATTGTCTGAATTATCCTTACGCACTTCAAATAGTGATTAAGAAACGTTCTCTTGATTTGACCTTTGATGTGACGCGTTCTATTGAGTCCCATATTTTGAAGTGAATAAAGAAAATCCAACCATATCTTCACAGGGAGCTGGGTGTTCAGGATATGTAATTAAGCTTTAACCAATACAAGTTAAAAGAAATACAAACCAGAAATAAGTGTTTGATATAATTTCTGTTGATAGCTTCAGTTTTGTCTTCCATAATGTTGAGTAAATTTCCAGCACGTCATTGGTTTTAACATAACCAGGCTCTTCTCTCAGCTTCAGCGTTGATCGATCATGCGATCAAAGAGGTCCAACTCTTCCCAAAATGAATCGTCATGCGGCGCTTTATCCCTTGGGGTCAATTTTTTTAAGCACAGGAAAATATCGGCCATGTTAGGCTTTCCACTTCCACCATAATACTCCACACGAGCTCCCGAACTCTTGGAAAACTCTGATTTCGGTTCAGCCAAATCAACGGAAATATAGTGTTTGATATCAAATTAAAGTAGTAGTGAAAGCTGCTCGCCAATATCTATGGCTCTACTGGCATCGCAACTTTCTTGACGTAAGAAATGAGCTGTAGCACTTTCTTGCGCCGGAGGTCTTGATTAGCATCCATTTTTTGAGTAGTGAAAATATTAGAGTTGCTGATTTTCCTGAGAGTTCTCCACTCAGTGGACCTGGTAGCCAACCCAGGCTGAAGTCATCATGCCGGGGGGCGAGGAGGGCGTCGGGGACGGAACGATTACAGAAAGATGAATCGTGGATTTGAAGAACTTGTTTGGCCATGGATTCGGAAGAATGACTATGGTGTCACCTGGCCAGTTTAAGACTCATTATGGAGCCTAATCTTGGCGAGCTTGGCTAAAGACCTATAGGTTTTTTACCAAGAGCTAAGAGTTCCCGATGATCGGAAATTTTGTCGGTCCGGAGGAGCTTCTGGAAGTTGGATTGCTTCCTCTGAAAATGGATTGAAGGCTAAATTGAAACCCATGTGAAGAGAAGCCACAGTATACAGCTAAATAAGAGATCCATTTTCTTTCTTGTTTAGAGAATACTAACTCAGGTGTTTCAGGTTTGACAATTTATTGCAATGGAAAGAGATGACCTATCTTCTTGTAAAAAAAAAAAAAAAAAAAAAAAAAATTAGTGATAATATATAAAATTGTGACTTGAATTCGTTTCTTCACGTAATTTTGTTTTTTTTATCCTATCATAATCAAGGAGTCAAAAGCAAACGCATTAAGGTATCTATTTCCCTTTGTGGTGATGTGGCTCCTTATTTGCCACAGTGGAAGTCAGCTTAAGTGTTAAAGTCAAACTCTCTTATGCGACATCGTTGGTTGGCTAAACCTAATATACTATCTGTTTGGGTTATCTCATTTTGTGCGCAGACTTCATTTCTCTCTCTCATTTCTGTTTTGCTTCGACACCTCACAACCCTACCGAATGTTCCAGAATTGATCTTGTGATCTTACGCTTATGGAGAATTAGAGACAGCTGGATGATGATTCAGGCTTCAAGCATGTGTATTTAACACCTGCTGATGCAAGAGGAAAAGGCAGCTTCTGGGTTGAGAGAGTTAGGGTTTTACGAATTGGTGTGTTCCTTCCTTGTTTGTTTTTCCCTTATGTTTTGATGAAATCATTCTCACTGTACATTATTGATTGATAATGAAATCCCCTATTGTGAGTCTTGGAGAGTGGATGTAGGCTGTAAAGCCGAACCACTATAAACTACTGTGTCCTAATTTTTATGCTTGTTCTTCTTACTTTCCATTTGTCTTGTGTTTAATCATTGATCGATGACCTGTTTGAGACTATTTTAGGTTTAATCATAAACCCTAAAATCTTAACAAATTGGTATCAGAGCTAGATTGAAGATCCAGTTAGGGTTTCTCTGTTTAATCTTGCCTAAATACATTTCTTTGAGTTTCCTTAAACTGATTCTGTTGCTGAATGTTTCTTTGATCTGTGAGAAAACATGTCAACTAAATATGAGCTTGAGAAGTTTACAGGTGAGAACGACTTTGGACTATGGAAAATAAAGATGGAGGCAGTACTGGTTAAAGAGGGCTTAGTGTTAGCTTTGAAAGGAGAAGATGAGTTACCTGCAACATTAACCACTACTAAAAAACAAGACATGCTGAACAAGGCCAAAAGCTCTCTGATCCTTGGCTTGGGTGACAAAGTGCTTCGAGAAGTAAAAAAGGAGAAGACTACTGCAGAGATATGGAGTAGCTTAGACTCACTTTATCAGTCTAAGACTGTACCTAATCGGTTATTTCTTAAACAGAGTTTGTTTGGGTTTAAGATGGATGAAGAAAAGTCATTAAAAGATAATAAGAATGATTTTCTTAAGATAATACAAGATTTAGAGAGTATATCCATTGAAATAGGTGATGAGGATCAAACTGTAATCTTGTTAAACTCTTTACCCAAAACTTATTCGAATTTTGTAGAGACTTTGAAATATGGTAGGCAGACTCTGAAATTAGAAGAAGTAGTAGAAGTGTCTCAGCTAAGGATACTGAAAATAGGATTAAGGATAAAAATGTGAGTGATGGTGAGGGTCTTGTAGTAAGAGGAAGATCTGAAAAGAAGAACTAGAAAAAGGGAGGGCAGAATAGACATAGGTCTAAGTCCAAACCTGGGAAATGGAAGTGTTTCTTCTGTTATAAGGAGGGTCACCTTAGGAGAGACTGTCCTAAGAGAAAGAAGAAGAAATATGAGAAAGAGGATGATGGAGGTATTGCAGGGGTAGTATCAAAAGGTTATGAGAGTTCAGAGGTCCTAGTTATTTCAGAGGGCAGTACTAGGGAAGAGTGGATTTTAGACACTGGTTGTACCTATCATATGACACCTAATAGGGAGTGGTTTAGCTCATTTCAACCTTTAGATGGCGGGAAAGTAATGATGGGAAATAATGTTGTCTATCATATTTAGGGAATTGGATCTGTTAAACTGAATCTCCATAGTGGATTAACTAAGACACTTATTGATGTTAGGTATATCCCTGACCTAAAACGAAATCTTATCTCTCTTGGAACTTTAGACTCTATAGGTCTGAATTATAAGGTTGCTAATGAGAGTCTTAGTGTCTTAAAGGGTTCCCTGGTTGTCATGAAGACTGAGAAAAGAAACAGACTGTATGTGTTGAAAGGTAGGACTAATAGTGGAGTGGCTAATTTTGGGTCAACTGAGGAACTAGATAAGACTACCTTGTGGCATAGAAGGCTTGCCCATGTTAGTGAAAAGGGCTTAGGTGAACTCAGTAAACAAAACCTACTAGGTGGAGATAAAACAGGGAATATGAACTTTTGTGAACACTATGTTTTTGGGAAAATGTGCAGGGTAAAGTTTGGGACTGGACAGCACTACTCAAGCTCACCACTTGAGTATGTGCATTCTGATTTACGGGGACCATCTAGGCATTATTCACTTGGAGGGTGTAGGTATTTTTTGAGTCTTGTAGATGACTACTCTAGGCATGTTTGGATTTATTTCCTTAAAACCAAGGATGAAGCCTTTTCTAGATTTAAGGAATGGGAAACCATGGTTGAAAAGCAAAGTGGAAAGAAACTAAAAAGGTTAAGAACTGATAATGGTTTGGAATTCATTAATGAGGAGTTCAATAACTACTGTAGAATTAATGGGGTAGTTAGACATAGGACAGTGAGACACACTCCACAATAGAATGGACTCTGTGAAAGGATGAATATGACTATTCTAGACAAGGTAAGAAGCATCCTGTCATGTTCCAAACTTCCAGTCAAGTTCTGGGTAGAAGCAGCCCATACTGCAGTCTACCTGATAAACAGAACACCCTCATCAGCTATAGGTTTTAGAGTTCCACTTTAAAGGTGGACTGGTCATCCTGTAAACCTTGAAAACCTTAGAGTTTTTGGATGTCTAGCCTAAGTTCATTCCAAAGATGAAAAGTTAAAACCTAGAGCCATCAAATGTATTTTCTTAGGATATCTAGATGGGGTTAAAGGCTACAAGTTCTGGAATTTAGAAAATAAGAAATGTATTGTGAGTAGAGATGTCATATTCAAAGAAAATACCCTACCTGGTTTAGGAAACAAACCTGATGAATCTGAGAACACTTATTCAGAAGCGAGACACCTAGAACTAGAAGTGACAGACTCCAGTTTTAGCCCAAGTTTGAATCAAGGTAGAGTTGAGGAGTTAGATACTCATGAGAAAGAACCAACTGGTGATCATGAAGTATGGCAGAATACTCCAGGTGTAGATACTTCAAACTTGAATGATTATCAATTATCAAGAGATAGAATTAGGAGAACAATCAGACCTCCAAGTAGACTAGGATATGCAGACCTGGTTGCTTATGCTCTTCAGGTGGAGGAAGAGATGAATGATGAACCTAAGACATTCCAAAAGGCAATTTCTGGATCTGAAAAATTGGAATGGAAGAAAGCCATTGAGGAATAATTTGATTCTCTTATGAAGAATAATACTTGGGTTTTGGTTGATAAACCAGAAAACTGTAGGGTGGTAAAATGTAAATGGATTTTCAAAAGAAAACCAGGTCTAAAAACTCAGGATGCACCTAGGTACAAGGCTAGGTTTGTCGCAAAAGGGTTCACACAAGTAAAGGGGGTTGACTATAATGAAATATTTTCTCCCCTGGTTAAACATACATCCATTAGGGTCCTGATTTTTTTAGTAGTTCAATTCAATCTGGAATTAGAACAACTTGATGTGAAGACAGCTTTCTTGCATGGGGATTTGGAAGAAAGTATTCTAATGGAGCAGCCTAAAGGCTACAGCAGTGCAACAGGTAAAGTTTGTCTATTAAAAAAATCATTGTATGGTTTGAAACAGTCACCACGACAGTGGTATAAGAAATTTGATTCTTTTATGCTAGAAATAGGATTTAATAGATGTAATTTTGACAGCTGTTTTTACTATAAAAGAATCTCAGAACTGACACATATTTTTTTACTGTTGTATGTGGATGATATGCTTGTGGCATGCCATGATAAATCTGAGCTGTGTCGACTGAAGAAATTACTAAACACCAAGTTTGAAATAAAAGAGTTGGGTCAGGCTCAGAAAATTCTTGGTGTTTCCATTGTTAGAAATAGAGCTTCTGAAAGTCTAAAGTTAGTCCAGAAGGACTACACTGAGAAAATTCTGAAGAAATTCAACATGCTAGATGCTAAATCTGTTCAGACTCCTCTCGGTGCTCACTTGAAACTTTCACGAGAGCAGA